GTCAAGGCCTGCTTCCTTAAGCATTTGTAAGAGGAGCAGAATATTTATTTTTCTATCAGAAAAGATATTTTACTTCTATAAATGTAGCCTTGAAATTCCAATCATCTGGATTTTTTTTTTTTTTTAGGTTAGTCAAGTGAAGCAGTGGGAGTGGAGAAGGAACAAAAATCTGTAACTGGCTGTGATCAGTTCACTGTAAACACTACTGCACTCAAACCAACCCATCTGGATTATTATACATTATAATGTTTTCTGAAGATCTGGTATATTTTAAAGACTTCTGTCATAAAAAACATAGTTGGCAAAATTCTATTTTTGCACCTAACAAAAAGTTCAGCCCCCTCATGAGAAGCACTTGCTTCAATTGCTACAAATAAGTTCCAGACAGACTGCTTGTGGATATAAACATGGTTTTCTAAATCTCTCTAATCTTGGCTCCCATCTTATCTGTCAAGCCAAACAGGTAGTATTAGAACCATAAAAGAAGCACCATCTGATTCATTCTATCTTGCCTATCAGGTTATGGGAACAGATTACTAAATCTAACCCCAGAGGAAGAGCTTCTTTGATCTTATTGTCCACTGAAGTTTAGAAATAAATCTAAAATCCTTACTAGAAAAACAAAGTCTTGGCCAGGTTTAATGGCTCACATCTGAAAACCTAGCAGTATGGGACGCCAAGGTGAGAAGATCACACAAGCCCAGGAGATTAAGACCCAACTGAGCAACACCGTGAGACCTCATCTCTACAAAAAAATTGTTTTCAAAAATTAGCTGGGTCTAGTGGCAGGGGGCCGTAAATCCCGCTACTCAGGAGGCCGAGGCAAGAGAATTGCTTGAGCCCAGGAGGTCGAGGCTGCAGTGAGCTGTGATTACGCCACTGCACTCCAGCCTGGGGGGCAAAGTGAGACCCCATCTCAAAAAAAAAAAAGAAAAAAAAAAGAAAGAAAGAAAAAGGCTACAATATTAAAATAAACAGATGTACATCTATATCTATAAATATAAATGATGTTGTTTACCAAGTAGCTTGCCAATGCATACAATCCCATCTGCCCCAATTTTTCTTTTCTTTCTTTTTTTTTTTTTTTTTGGAGATGGAGTCTAACTCTGTCACCCAAGCTGGAGTGCAGTGGTATGATCACAGCTCACTGCAGCCTCAACCTCCCAGGCTCAAGTGATCCTCCCACTTCACCTCCCAAGTAGCTGAGACCACAAGTAGCTGTGCCACCATGCCTGGCTAATTTATTTATATTTATTTACAAAAAACAGAGATGAGGTCTCACTGTATTGCCCCGACTGGCCTTGAACTCCTGGCCCTCAAGCAATCCTCCCGTTTCAGCTTCCCAAAGTGCTGAGCCACCATGCACAGCTGAATTTTTTCATTTTTTGTAGAGATGGGGTCTCCTTATGTTACCCAGGCTGGTCTCAAACTCCTGGGCTCAAGTGATTCCCCCGCCTCGATCTCCCAAAGTGCTGAGATTATAACCATGAGCCACTGCACTTAGCCTGCCCCAACTTTTTAAATGGGAGGAAACAGTGGAGAAAGTGAACTATTAATACATTGTTAACCTGTCAGTCCACATTTTTGCCATTGTGTTTTATTTTTTTCCTTTCATATTCTGGGCTCCTGAGTAAAATTCTATAAACATTGACCTTATGTTCACACAACATTTGGACGGCAGGTATGCCTAAAAATGTGAGAATTAGGTAAAAATGGTGCGTTCTAATGCCAATTCTTAACTCTTATGCAGGGAGGGGCGGTGTGGTCATCGACAACCTTGAGAATCTGATGAAAGGTGTAGGTCCTCTCCCTAGAAAAATGCTCCTACAAATGAACAAACCATTTCAGGAGGAAACAGATAAAACAAACGCTTGTCGAAGCATCTTGTTATCACTTCCAAAGCACCACATACGAAATTTTAAACTCAAAAGTCCCATTCTCTAAACCTAGTCTCCTAGCCTTTTACACCTCCCACTAAACCCGATCATCAACTTAGAGACTTCCAGTGCCTCCACTCTACCTGGTCTGTCTCTGGCTATCAACTCACACTGATTCCCTTCTCCCACCAGGCTGAACTACAGAGCAAATCAATTCATTATCACTCTCCTATTCATGCTCCCTTGTTTTTCTTTTTTGAGACATAGTCTCACTCTGTCACTCAGACTGGAGAGCAGTGGTACAATCTCGGTTCACTGTAACTACCACCCTCCAGGCTCAAGTGATCCTCCCACCTCAGCCTCCTGGAACCACAGATGCGTGCCACCACGCCAGGCTAATTTTTTTGTATTTTTGGTAGAGATGGGTTTCGCCATGTTGCCCAGGCTGGTCTGGAACTCCTGAGCTCAAGCAATCCGCCCACCTCAGCCTCCCAAAGTCCTGGGATTACAGGCGTGAACCACGCCCGGCCCATGCTCCCTTGTTCTATTGTCATATAAATCAGCCAATTTCTGAGCGAGTGGGGCCTTTTACCCCAAATCTGCTTCTTGTTCTATATTTTTTAACTTAGTGAGTGGCAAAACCATTTTTGTTACTGGAACTCAAACCGGAAACCAGGACACCATCCTAGCTCTCTCCCTCTCACTTACTGCCCACCAGTCAGATGTGGTCTCTTCCTTTCTTCCTCCATTGCTTCTGCACACAGCGCTCTTTACTTGGCTTAACTGGCCTCCAGTCTGACCTCTTCCAATCTATTTTTTATGCTGCTATCAGAACCTAAATAAAAAATCACTTCCTGCTTGAAATCCTTTCATGGCTTCTCATAGCTTTCAGATTAATTTTCAAAATATTTAATTTAAAATGCAAGGCTCGGCTGGGTGTAGTGGCTCATGCCTGTAATCCCAGCACCTTGGGAAGCCAAGGCAGGAGGATTGCTTGAGTTCGGGAGTTAGAGGCCAGCCTGGGCAACATGGTGAGACCTCATTTCTACCAATAAAAAATTAGCTGGGCATGGTGGTGCACACCTGTGGTCCCAGCTACTCAGGAGGCTGAGGTGGGTGGATCAATTGAGCCCAGAAAGTTGAGGCTGCAGTGAGCCCTGATGGTGCTACAGCACTCCATCCTAGACAGAGCCAAATGCAATTCCTTTCTTTTTTTTTTTTTTTTTTTTTGAGGTGGAGTTTCACTCTTGTTGCCCAGGCTGGAGTGCAATGGCATGATCTTGGCTCACTGCAACCTCCACCTCCCAGGTTCAAGTGATTCTCCTGCCTCAGCCTCCCAAGTAGCTGGGATTACAGGCACCCACCAGCACACCCAGCTAATTTTTGTATTTTTAGTAGAGACGGGGTTTCACTATGTTGGCCAGGCTGGTCTCAAACTCCTGACCTCGGTGATCGCCCACCTTGCCTCCCAAAGTGCCGGGATTACAGACATGAGCCACCAAGCCCGATCAAGATGCAGTTTCAAATACAAAATCAAATAAAATGCAAGTATCTTGTGATCTGGCCCTGTTGGTCCTCAAGCTCTATTCTCCACACGCCTCCCTCATGCCTGGTTCTATACATGATACCATTTGTGCTGTTTGCCTCTGTGCAGTTCCACAACAGTTATGCCCTCTGCCTGGAGTACCCATACCCTCCCTTCATCTGAAATTTACTAGTTCTCAAAAACATCCATAGTCTTCTCCAAAAATGCCTTTCTTAATTCTGCAGTTTATTAAGTGCTCTAGATATACTCCTGTAGGCCCATGCCTCTATCCTCTCGCCCTTCCAGGGGGCTCTAATGTTGGTTTACTCATTTGCCTCTCTTAACTCTAAGTGTGTTGATGGCAACATACTTGTTTTATATACCATATCTGTAGCACTCAATCAATCTTTGTTAAATGTACAAATAATCCCAGGCATCTTGTAATTTACCTTCAACTGCCACAAAAGCCAAACCTTGACCCTCTCAAGTCACCCTACTCATATCCATACTCCTCCCTCTCAACAGATGACTTCACATCTCATTTCATAGAACAAAACAATGAACCACTGAGACTGGAAATGTAAGAACCTCACAGATCCCCTCTCCTGACCTAAGGATGAGGTCTCCTCCCAGGCTCTGCAACAATACCCTGGGCTCTTGATTCCTCTCTCCCAGGCCTGTCTTTTGCTGAGTCACACTCGTTTTGTATCTTCACTGTTCCCCTCTCCAGGAATTCCTTCCCCTGTGCTCAAATATCCTAAAATCCACACCTTCCTCCAGTAAAATCAAAACAAAACAATACACCAGGCCAGGCACGGTGGTTCACTCACATCTGTAATCAATCCCAGCACTTTGGGAAGCCAAGGAGGGCAAGTCACTTGAGGTTGGGAGTTCAAGACCAGCCTGGGCATCATGGCAAAATCACATCTCTACAAAAAATACAAAAATTTGCAGGGCATGGTGGCGTGTGCCTGTAGTCCCAGCTACTTGGGAGGCTGAGGTGGGAGGATTGCTTGAGCCTGGGAGGTTGAGGCTGCAATGAGCCATGATCACAACACTGAACTCCAGCCTGGAAGACAGAGTAATACCCTGTCTCAAAAAGAGTGGGGGGGAAACACCCAAAAAACAAAGTAACACACCACAAAAAACTTAGTTTTACCTTCTTCTCAAGTTACTGCCTTCTCATCCTCTCTTCACTGTCAAATCTTTAAAAATGTTAAATCCGGCTGGGTGCGGTGGCTCATGCCGGTAATCCCAGCACTTTGGGAAGCCAAGGCAGGTGGATCACGTGAGGTCTGGAGTTTGAGACCAACCTGGCCAACATGGTGAAATTCCATCTCTACTGAAAATACAAAAATTAGCTGGGCATGGTGGCGTGCACCTGCAGTCCCAGCTACTCAGGAGGCTGAGGCAGGAGAATCCCTTGAACCCAGGAGGCGGAGGTTGCAATGAGTCGAGATTGTACCACTGCACTTCAGCCTGGGTGACAGAGCAAGACTCTGTCTCAAAATAAATAAATAAAAAATAAATAAATAAAAACAAAGGCTTCATCCTATGTTTGATCTGTGTAATATCTGATTCTCGTGTTCCTTCTTAAGATGTTCTTCTATTCCTGCAGCTTCTGGACACCATTCTGTCATGGGTCTTTCACCCCTCTACAGCTGCTCCACTTCTACTTCCCCAGTATTCCTTCCCTAGTCCTGGTTATTCCTGCAGACTTCTTTTTGTGGGAGTTCATTGGATCTGTGACTCATCCACCCTTTCCTATCCTGTGGGACAGACTGACTACACAGAAAAATGTTGGGCACCTGTCACTTGTATTAGTTTCCTATTGCTGCTCTAATGCGTTACCACAACCTAAGTGGCTTAAAACAACACAAACTTTTCATGTTACCACTCTGAAAGACAGAAGTCCAAAACGGGTCTCACTAGGCTACGATCAAGGTGTCAGCAGGTCTGTGTTTCTTCTGGAGGCTCTGGGGGAGAATCTATTTCCTTTTCCAGTTTGTAGAGGCCACCTTCACTCCTTGGCACATGGTTCCTTTCTTCATTTTCAAAGTCAGCAGCGTAACATCTCCAAATCTCTCAACCTGACTTGATTCTCCTACCTTCCACCTTCTTGTAAAATCCGTTGTAATTACATTGGCCCCACCCAGATAGTCCAGGACAATCTCTCAACTCAAGGTCAGTTGATTATTAGCAACCTTAATTCCATCTGCAACCTTAATTTCCCTTTGCCATGTAATATAACACACTCCCAGGTTCTGGAAATTAGGATGTGGACATTTCTGGGAGTGGTGAAGAGGCGATATTATTCTGCCTGCCACACCAGCTAAACCAGCAAATATATAAAAGATAATGGGACCTTCAGTGAGGCATCAAACTGGTCTAAAATAGACAAGATGAGCTTAGCATGGTGGCAGGTGCCTGTAATCTCAGCTACTTGGGAGGCTGAGGCAGGAGAATCACATGAGCCTGAGAGGCGGAGGCTGCAGTGAGCCGAGACCACGCCACTGCACTCCAGCCTGGGCAACAGAGTGAGACTCTCTCTCAAATAAATATGAAAGATAAGATGAGAACAGTGTGAAATGGCAGAATAGTTGCAGGAAGAACTGAATGAGGAATACAAGGGAACAAAATACTGCCCTTACACTCTAGGTTTCAAAAAGAAAATTGGGCTGCATTTTACAGAATAGCTCACATTTGTCTCTGACACATCTTCCCGTGTTAAAATTAAAATGTCTATTTCTGGAACCTTCCCTACATGATCACTTGACTCAGAATCCTTTGATGACTCTAAGCATATCTTCTAATCCTCCCCCAATCTCTTCACAACTTTAAAATTATGAAACCTAGCAAGTTTTTGAATATGCAAAATGACCATCATACATATGAAAATATGTTCAATTTCAGTCATAATACAAGAAATGCTCATCAAAATTGCTGTAAGGTACCATTTCTCACACATCAGATTGGTGAAAACTTCTAAAGTCTGACAACACGTTCCGTTGGGCAGGCTGTGGAGAAAGAGACACTTCCATAGACTGCTGGTGGGAATGCCAATACATGAAACCCTTGTAGGGAAATCTGGCAATGTCTAACAAAACTAAACTTTAATTTTCCTTTGACCCAGCAATTCCACTGCTGGGAATTTACCCTCAATAATATGAAAACACGGCCGGGCGTGGTGACTCATGCCTGTAATCCCAGCACTTTGGGAGGCTGAGGCAGGTGGATCATGAGGTCAAGAGATTCAGACCATCCTGACCAACATGGTGAAACCCTGTCTCTACTAAAAATACAAAAATTAGCTAGGCATGGTGGCATGTGCCTGTAGTTTCAGTTACTTGGGAGGCTGAGGCAGGAGAATCCCTTGAACCCAGGAGGTGGGGATTGCAGTGAGCTGAGATCGCGCCACTGCCCTCCAGCCTGGCGACAGAGTGGGACTCTGTCTCAAAAAAAGAAGAAGAGATGAAAACACATGTGCACAAGGTTATTCCTTGGGACACTGTTTGCTGTAATGTCTCCAGCCTACATGCTCACTCACATCTAGGAGAGTACTTAAACTATGCTACACCCATACAGTGGAGGACTATGCAGCTATAAAACACAATGAGGAAAAGACCCCTAGGATGTGAAGTCCTCCACTCTCTGCTTGTAGATTTCGGATGCTTTCTTCAGGATCGTTTCCATTTGACACTTCTCTTGCATCTTTCTAAGGCCATCTGGGCTGGGGTCCACTTGTCCAGACTGTGTCGCTTCTCCCCCTTGTTCTTTTTGCTCATTGCCATGGCTTTCAGGAATTTTGCCTTGTCTTTGTCCTTTTCTTCTTCTGCTTGATCACGCTGAGCTCTGCAATGCCTTTCAGCTAAAGGGGTCCCTTCTGGACCTGCTTATAGGCTGTCATGGGACTGCCCCCCCCACCCCGCCCCACCCCACAGTTTGGTAGATAGACTGCCTTGATTATTTAATGATCAAATTGTCCCAGATTTCGCTATTGGAAGCCCCTTTAAGTTGACTCCTGTTGTCTATTGATATGTCCCATTATTCTTTGAATGACTTTTTTTTTTGAGATGGAGTCTCCCTCTGTCGCCAGGCTGGAGTGCAGTGGTGTGACCTCAGCTCACTGCAACCTCTGCCTCCTAGGTTCAAGCTATCCTCCTGCCTCAGCCTCCTGAGTAGCTGGGATTACAGGCATGTGACACCCCACCTGGCTAATTTTTATATTTTTAGTAGAGACGGGGTTTCACCATGTTGATCAGGCTGGTCTTGATCTCCTGGCCTCAAGTGACTGGCCTGTCTCGACCTTCCAAAGTGCTGGGATTAAGGCGTGGGCAGTAAGACAACACAGCCTAGGTAGCAGAACACCACCTAAGGCAGGAATGGAACATACACCTTGTCCCTTTCTGAGCCCCTTCCCCCAAAACCCCACTTACAGACACTTCTAATGTGTATTGCCAGGGCAGGTATTTCTAATCAATCATGGTTTTCTTTGTAAAGGAACCCAGACACAGTCTGCCTCATAACCCTCACCTCTGGGCTCCAAGCAGCCTCTTGTATTTACTCAGAGTTAGCACATCACCTGGAGCCTACTTGGCATTCCAGCCTTAAGGACACCTCAGGGGTGACAGGACCAAGGCAGAGCCCCAGTGTAAGCAGACATGGGTGCAGTCAAATGGGAGGGTCCAGATACCAGTGCTGATGGGCCAGGGTCTTCAACGGCCTACTTGACCTAGATGAGAATCAAACGACATGTGCTACTGGGAGAAACTGTCTCTGCTGATATAGATATTGAATGAATAACAAAGGCAGAAGAGAAAAATCAAGTATGGAGTTTGAGGTTGGCCTATGTAAACTACAGAATAAAGCAAAAACCAGTTATTTTAAAATACAATAAAATATAAATAAATAATCACAGTGATGGATTATAAGCCACTGAATAAAATAGGAATGCAAGAATCCAAACTGATAAACGATTAAATAGAGAAGAAAGAAAAGCTATTCCTCATTAGAACGCCTACTAATAAATGGCTTTTTGTTTGTTTTCGAGATGGAGTTTCCCTCTGTCACCCAGACTGAGTGCAGTGGTACAATCTTGGCTCATTACAACCTCCACCTCCTGAGTTCAAGCGATTCTCCTGCCTCAGCCTCCCCAAGTAGCTGGGACTACAGGCACGCACCACCATGCCCAGCTAATTTTTTTTGTATTTTTAGTAGAGATGAGGTTTCACCATGCTAGCCAGGCTGGTCTTGAACTCTTGACTTCAGGTGATCCATCCACCTTGGCTTCCCAAAGAGGTGGGATTACAGGCATGAGCCACCATGCCCGGCCAGAAGTGTTTTTTTTTTTAAAGTGATATATTTAGGAAAAACACTATTTAACAAACTAAAATTAATGGATTCAAGCAAGGATCATCAATGGACACTGAAATTAATGGTTAAAAGTCTGACAAATAACAGGATATTTGTGTAATATTAAAGTACCTATTCAGAAACTACTTATTAATTAAAAGCGGAGAAAAAAGTGACCACAGTGGAGAACCAGGCAGACACCACGTTAATCCACATGATCAAACCAGTGGTATGCTAGAGCCCACTCCTACCAACCCAGGAAAGGGACATTTCCCAACCTTGTGTTCCATGAAGACAGACCCTATTTAGAAACTGGCCATGGTGGGAATATTTACAACACAGAATGGGGCAATGGCAAATGCCACAGAACAGGGCAATATCTCCCCCTCCAGAGCCAACTGAGTTGTTAAACATTTATCAGCACCACACTGGATCAAAGTTAACCACCACCAGGCAATTCAACTTTCTGTGCCTCCTGACACTTCACACTAAGAAGAGCACAACATCATTTTTGTCGTATTCTGCCCAAAATGTATGACCTCAATCTAGTGAGAAAACACGGAGGGGAGTGGGGGAACACGGGACTAGATTGAGAGGCATCCTACAAAATAACTGGCAAAACATCAAGGTCAGCTGGGCACGGTGCCTCACGCCTGTAATCCCAGCACTTTGGGAGGCCAAGGTGGGTGGATCACCTGAGATCAGGAATTTGAGACCAGCCTGACCAACATGGTGAAACCCCATCTCTACTAAAAATACAAAAAAAATTAGCTGGGCGTGGTGTCGCGCTTCTGTAGTCCTAGCTACCCCGGAGGCTGAGGCAGAATTGCTTGAATCCAGGAGATGGAAGTTGCAGTGAGCCGAGACTGAGCCATTACACTCCAACCTGAGCAACAAGAGCGAAACTCCGTCTCAAAAAAAAAAAAAAAAAAAGAAAAGAAAAGAAAATCAAGGTCAAGAAAGACAAAGATGATTAAGAAGGTGTTTCAGACTAAAGGAGACTAAAGAGACAGGACAGCTAAATGCAATATATGATCCTAATCGGATGCTAGATCAGAAAAAAAAATTTTTTTTGCTATTAAGAACATTATTGGAACAACTGGTGAATATGAATAAAATCTTTAGATTGAAAAACAGAATTATATCAATGTTAAATTTCTGATTTTGAACACCATATTATGGTTATATAAGAATGCCCCAAATGCATACAAAAGTATATGGAAGGCCTAAGTCTGCTACTGTCAGGTGGTTCGCCAAATATATTTTTTAAAGAAAGAAACATGTTAATAAAGGAAAATGCGGGTACCAGACACACAGTTCTTTGTACTATTCTGGGGACTTTTCTGTAAGTCTGAAATTATTTAAACATGAAGTTACAAGGGAAGAGCCATGAACGCTACCTGATCCTCTGCCCTCATCTCTAGGTCCACCTGGCTGCAGTCGGAGGGAAGCAGCGAGCAAGGCGTTCTCCGAGGTCTCAAGGGGCCCCAAGGCTACGCGGTCAGAACAGAAGCGAAAGCCACGTCCACCACCGACCCACCTCAAGAGCCACAGCCCCACTCAGGTCTCACGCGCAGGCGCAGGGACTGGCCACAGGTGCTGCGACGTCACGGCTTTCCCCTGGGGGCGTGTGCAGCTCGAGGCTTTGCAGGAGGCGCACCTGCGATGGCCCCACCGCCAGGTGAGCCCAGAGGGCTCTCATCGCTTCAGCTGGAGATTCCAACTGCAGGGCGCGCACCTCCTCTGCCTAGGGCATGTTTCTGAAGGATGGCAAGAATCCTGGCCTCTGATGGCTATCTTCTCCCCTTCCCCTCCAAGCCCAGTGTTGTGACCCTGTGCCCTCTCTCCCCTCAATTTTAGGCCCAGGAGTCAGGTACTAAGACTCAGTCACAGAGAGAAGTCAGGAGCTCCCTTGTGAAGGCAGACTTTAGCAAATGCATCTTCTTCCAAAGCCTTAGTGTTTTTCTTAATGTTGGCTTCGAAAGCCTAGTTTGTGGCCCAGGCTGCTACTGGTGAGTTTCTGGCAGGGTGCTGGAAATCTTGGCCAATACCAGCCGACCACTCCCCCAGCCCCCTGGGGCGTGTTTCTGGGCTTTCCCGTTATCAATTAGTTGGAAATTGCACATCATTGTGTCCTGGCCTGACAACAAACACCTGTTCTGATCTACAGCCTCTTGCTGAAGGAACACCAGGAGACAGACAGCAGGTGGTGGGGTACGCTACAGGTATTGCGCTTCTTAAGCTTATGTTTTCTGATGAAGCCTCATTCATAGGATGAAGCCGCTGTATCTGAATTCTGGGGTGAACACAATAAGTTGCACAGGGAACAGACTCAGGTGCTGCTAAATCTGTTGTGATCATAGTTGCTTTTGCAAGTTTCTTCGTTCATCTTATGTAGACAAGCCAGGCTAGACAAGGAATCCGTTGTCTAGCATAGCAACTGGCACACAGTAGGTGCTTGGTAAGTATCTGAATGACTTTATAATGCCCTGCACATTCTGCAGAGTTGGAGTGATCATTCTGCCGATACTTGTAAATCTGGAAGTATTTTTGCCTATGTTGGCACTGCCATACTTCTTTAAAATGATACTTTAAAAAGAAACTGTTCTTCAAATACAGTGCTTGTGGAAGAAGTCCTGAGGTTCCCAGTGATCTCAAACGCTGAGCAGTGGAAAAGAGACTGAATAACAGAATTATGATCTGTGTTTTTACTCTGTATTCATGAAATCTGATTATCATTTCCTCTCTCTATGTATTTTTTTCTTATCCCCTTCCCCTGCAAAATGAAAAAATTCTGTAGTGAAAAGTGTGAAGGAAAGACAATTGTTTATTTCAGTTGAGCAGATAGGCTTATCAAACAAATGAAGACAAAAAAAACACATAATCAAGAGTATGATGGGAGATGAAAAACAAATTATTTTTAATGATTCATGGCAACCACATTTATATCCTATTGTTACTAGAGAAGAAAATGTCTTCACATAACCAGTGGTCAGCAGAAGAGGATGAAGGCCAATTATCCCGACTAATCAGGAAATCTAGAGACTCCCCCTTTGTCCCTGTAGGTAAGTACAAGCCTTGACTGGATGCGGAAAACTGTAGTAACACAATGATGCCTTACCCAGTGCCATTGAGGATTGAAATGTTTCTTATAATTGAATTTTTTCAGATAATTGAAGCTAACCTCCTCTAGGCATGTGTTGAACTTTCAGAATAGTTCCTAGCACATGGTAAGCTCCCAGTAAATGTTAGCTGTTATTTGAGGCATCAAATTTTATTCTATTTTATCCATTTTGTTAGAAGTCTACCTAAAAGTATTAGTTCCTAGCCAGTCAGATGGAATAGATTGAATGAATATTAACATTTCAGCCATAACTCAGGACCATCAACAGCAGCATCAGTTTATTATATTTAAAGCCTATTAGGGACTATTGAGATGCATATGTCTCTTTGTCTTGTAAGTAATCTAAACTTGAAGTTCTTACGTCTTCTGTTTATAGATTTTTCTGTTTCTTTCTTACTACTGGGCACATTAAAAACTTCTGCTTCCAGGCCGGGCGTGGTGGCTCACACCTGTAATCCCAGCACTTTGGGAGGCCGAGGTGGGAAGATTGCTTGAGCTCAGGAGGTGCAGGTTGCAGTGAGCCAAGATCACACTTTAGCCTGGGTGACATAGTGAGACCCTTTCTCAAAAACAGCAAATAAACAAACAAACAAAAAACCAAAAACTTCTGCATCTAATGCTTTTAATGTTCTGTGACACCAGAAGTTAGATACCGAAGCTTGAAAGAAGTGTGAGTCAATTCAGAGGAAAGCTCTGAGTAGAAGCCTGGACCTATCTGAACACTTGTGAGCATGAACTTTGGGGTGGTCATTTTGGCTGCTCAGTGGCCGTCTGTGTTGGCTTCCTGGTGTGCTCCAGATGTTGAGTTTGATGGCAAAATAAATTCTGGACTAAAGAACTGATACTATAATTAGGCTGGGCACAGTGGCTCACGCCTATAATCCCAGCGCTTTGAGAGGCCGAGGCAGGTGAATCACTTGAGGTCAGGAATTCAAGACCAGCCTGGCCAACATGGTGAAACCCCATCTCTACTAAAAATACAAGAGATTGGCTGGGCGTTGTGGCACACACCTGTAACCCCAGCTACTCAGGAGGCTGAGGCACCAGAATCACTTGAACTCAGGAGGCGGAGGTTGGGCTCAGAGCAAGACTCCATCTCAAAAAATAAAAAAGAGAGATACTATGATTAGATCACCTAGTGATCTGGACCCTCAGCTGTTTATCCTTTCCCCACACATATTTAGTATGTTTACATTTTCAACAAGTATTATGTGTATGTGGACTTAAAAAAAACCACAAAACCTAAGCACCAATATTATGTTTTCAAGTCTGAGTTTTCTCTTTCTTCTCCATGGCAGCCATACCTGTTTCCTTGTGTTCATTTTGTCTGGAAACTATTAAAATAATTTACTTAAATCTGACTGACATAAGTTTGCAAAAATATTAATTCCATAAAAATGTCTAAATAGGTACGTCAGATGTTCCCATTGTTACCGTGACTCTAGCAACTTCCTGTCATTATTTACATATCAAGAAAGAATCAAATTTTACTTTACAGTAATATTCTGTTTAGAAGTTTCATTTAAGACTTGTAATAGCACCCGTAAGAAATGGAAGCAAACAATTTAATAGTGATTTATCTTCCTTAGCATTTTTAACTAAAAAAAATTCAAAAACTCATTGCTACTTGAACAGATCACTCTAATGAACAGAGATTAATTAATGAACAGAGACAAAGAGACATATGCACCACTGTGCCTGTTGTACATTAAATTATTTTTCCAGAGACATTTAGGTGATTAAAGTGGAAAGATAAAAGTGTTTCCAGTTAAATTCAATTACAAACAAACTGGAGACACTATGTGGAAAACAGTAAAGGTTCTGACTTTAATCTCCAAAAGAAACAAAACCAATTTAAGTAAGAACAGAACTTTCATTTGATTAAGGGAAGAGAGCCAAGTTTTTGCTAAAAAATAAATAATGATAAAATTTGGTAGGCTGGGCACGGTGGCTCACGCCTGTAATCCCAACACTTTGGTAGGCCAAGGTGGGTGGATCGCTTGAAATCAGGAGTTTGAGACCAGCCTGGCCAATGTGGTGAAACCCTGTCTCTACTAAAAATACAAAAATTAGCTGGGCGTGGTGGCGGGTGCCTGTAGTCCCAGCTCCTCAGGAGGCTGAAGCAGGAGAATCACTTGAACTCAGGAGGTGAAGGTTGCAGTGAGCCAAGATCGCGCCACTGCACTCCAGCCTGGCAACAGAGTGAGACTCTATCTTAGAAAAAAAAAATTGGATATATATCATTGAATAATTTGTTTAGCTGTTGTCATTTTAACACTATCTACTATGTGTATTTCCCTGCTACAGGATGGAGGGTCCTATGCAGGTAATTTATAAAACATTTTTTATTGGTTATCTTAAGCAACTTCCATCATTATAAACACATTTGCATTGTTCAAAATCATCTTACAGTCACTGTTAAGGTCTCTGCATGCATTATATCTATTTAAAGTATGTGTTGACAGATTATTTGGCTTTGCTTGTTTCACCTAACATATGTACATTTCTGTGTTTTAATACTCCCTACTCTTATTTATTTTTATAGCAATGGCAGTTTTTCTTCTGTTTGGGCCATTTGGGTTATTTGGGTTTTCCTCAAACATAGTGTAACCCTGAACATCTTTGTGTCATTTTCTTGATTTTTCTTTTGGTTACTTCCTTGGAGTATGTTCCCAGAAGTAGAATTTCCAGAGCAGGAAGCATGTTCAGTTTAATATCATTTGTTATATATTTCCAGAGTTCTTTCCAGAAGGACTTGGCTGAACTGACAGAGTTTTCAGGGTTTTACCTGTTTCCTCATGTGTCTACCATCATCAATTTTTTTTTTTTTTTTTGCTGTTTTTATGTCTGTAGCACATTAGTCATTTTTATTTCATTTATTGTGAATCAGCCTATAATGTAATGATTTACTGATTCTTATTTCCATTTATTAAATGGATCATGAAAGAAGAAATATATCCTTACCCACCCATAGACACGCATATGCCAACATAGTTATTCCAAACATGCTATCCACATAAAAATTACTTGCTTTTTTTTTTTTTTTTAAGACACAGTTTCCCTCTGCCGCCCAGGCTGGAGTGCAATGGCGCAATCCTGGCTCACTGCAACCTCCACCTCCTGGTCTCAAGCGATTCTCGTGCTTCAGCTTCCTAAGTAGGCATGCACCACCATGCCTGGCTAATTTTTGTATTTTTAATAGAGACAGGGTTTTACCATGTTGACCAAGCTGGTCTCAAACTCCTGACGTCAAGTGATCCACCAGTCTCAGCCTCCCAAAGTTCTGGGATTACAGGAATAAGCCACCATGCCCAGCCTGCATTTCTTTTTTTAATTGATCCTTACATTTAGATTAAAATTTGCGTTTCTATTTACTAACAACAAGCATATGGAAACTGAAACTAAAAACATAATGCCGACCAGGCGTGGTGGCACTCGCCTATAATCCCAGCACTTTGAGAAGCCAAGGTGGGCAACCACCTGAGGTCAGGAGTTCGAGACCAGCCTGGCCAACATGGCAAAACCCCGTGTCTACTAAAAATACAAAAATTATCCAGGCGTGGTGGCACACACCTGTAATCCCAGCTACTCAAGAGGCTGAGACAGGAGAATCGCTAGAACCTTGGAGGTGGGAGTTGCAGTGAGCCAAGACCACGCCACTGCACTCCAGCCTGGGCAAAAGAGTGAGACTCTGTTTCAAGAAAAAAAAAAAAAAAAATGGAGAGACCACTGTGTTCATGAATTGGAGGGGTGTGTGTGTATGTGTGTGTGTGTGTAGTAGAGGCAGGGTTTTACCATTTTGGCCAGGCTGGTCCCGAACTCCTGACCTCAAGTGATACTCCTGCCTTGCCCTACCAAAGTGCTGGCATTACAGGCATGAACTACCGCGCCTGACCCTGTGTTCATGAATTGGAAAGCACAGTATATTATTAAAGACGTCAATTCTCCCCAAGTTTATCTATAGGCTTAATGTAGTTCCTGTCAAAACCCCAGCAAGGTTTTTGGTAGACATAGACAAACTTATTCTAAATCTTATATGGAAAGGCACAAGTCCTAGAAAAGCTAAAATAATCCTTTTTAAAAAAAGACAAAGTGGAAAGAATCACTCTGGCTGATACTAAGGCTGACCATATCGCTACAGTAATCAACACAGTGTGGTACTGATGGAAGGTCAGATGTATAGATCAATGGGAAAGAACAGAGAACCCAAAAAAATAGGCCGGGCACAGTGGCTTATGCCTGTAATCCCAGCACTGCAGGAGGCTGTGGTAGACGGATCACTTGGGGCCAGGAGTTCAAGGCCAGCCTGACCAACATAGCGAGACATCATCTCTACTGAAAATACAAAAGTTGGCCAGGTGTGGTGGTGCACGCCTGTAATCCCAGCTACTAGGGAGGCTGAGGCATGAGAATCACTAGAACCCAGGAGGCAGAAGTTGCAGTGAGCTGAGATCGCATCACTGCACTCCAGCCTAGGTGACAGAGCAAGACTCTGTCTCAAAAGAAAAACAAACAAAAAAAAGACACACACTTTTACTGTGCAAATGTTTTCTCACTGTGTATTTTGTCCTTGTCATATTCTATCACCTCTACCATATCCTCTTTTTTCTTTCTTTTCTTGAGACAGAGTTTTGCTCTTGTTGTGCAGGCTAGACTGCAATGGTGCAATCTCAGCTCACCACAACCTCCACCTCCCAGGTTCAAGCGATTCTCCTGCCTCAGCCTCCTGAGTAGCTGGGATTACAGGCATGCGCCACCACACCTGGCTAATTTTGTATTTTTCGTAGAGACAGGGTTTCTCCATGTTGGTCAGGCTGGTCTCCAACTCCTGACCTCAGGTGATCCGCCTGTCTCGGCCTCCCAAAGTGCTGGGATTACAGGCGTGAGCCACTGTGCCCGGCCCCATATCCTCTTATAGATGTTATAAATACACCATTCTATTTTCTTCAGTTTTTGTTGTTGTATTTTTATTTTGTTTTGCATTTAACTCTTACTTATCCAAAAGTTGTTTTCAGGGTCTAGTGAGAAATACAAATCCAAGTTAGTTCTTCTCTATACCAGTAAGTTATACTTATGGCATTTATTAAATTATTCCAGTATCCGGGTTTTTTGTTATTGTTGCTTTGTTTTTTACTTTGAAATGAAGTCTTGCTCTGTCACTCAGGCTGGAGTGCAGTGGTGCAATCTCAGTTCACTGCAACCTCCGCCTCCCGGATTCAAGTGATTCCCCTGCCTCAGCCTCCCAAGTAGCTGGGATTACAGGCACGCACCATCATGCCTCACTAATTTTTTGTATTTTTAGTAAAGATGGGGTTTCACCGTGTTGGCCAGGCTGGTCTTGAACTCCTGACCTCAAGTGGTCCACCTGCCTCAACCTCCCAAAGTGCTGGGATTACAGGCGTGAGCCACCATACCTGGCCCAGTATCTGTTATCTGGCTATTTTTGTTTTGTCATGCATTAAGTTCTCAGTGTTTTACATCTTTTTCTAGAATCTTTCCTATTTAGTTGATGAGTTCTTTGTTTCAGCACCAGTTACATAGAATCTTAGTTGTCACAGCAGTATATTCACCCCTTGACATTTGTAGGAAATACAGAAATATTTGTATGGGCTTCTGAACTTTTCTAGAATCACAGTTCTTGCCAGAGTTATGCTTCTCGTGCATATATTCATACCTTTTCATCTCTCACTAAAGTTTATGGTTTCACTTTATATAGAAGAACAAATTTTTTCTCACTCTACTGAGTTTACTCCTTATTTGGTTACAGGAAGAGACGAGTCAAGCCAAACACTCAAAAGCTGTGGGCACTGAGATGTTGGGTTAGTTCACTTACTGGCTAAGTGACTTGCCACAGATAATAACATTGTAGCATGCACAGTTTGAAATCATTCCTCAGGAAATTACAAATGACTAGACAAGTTATTACACTGTATGGTTCTAATTTTCCTGGGAAGAGTCAAAACTGCAAATATTGGACCCAAGAATATTAAGGGCTCATTTTACAGTCTGGTAGATCAAATCCAGCTTGGTTCTTTGAAAAATGTTCTTTGCTGAGGTCTTTCCTGCTTATCTTCTAGGTTCTTATCCTGTAGACATTCTTTCATTTAACTCTCTAAGCACTTGAAAATTCTTGCCTGCCGTGTACTTAACCCATACATTTTTTTTTTTTCTAGAGACAGGGTCTCACTCTGTCACCCAGGCTGGAGTACAGTGGTGCAATCATAGCTTACTGACGCCTTGAACTCCTGGGCTCAAGGGATCCTCCTGCCTCAGTCTCCTGAGTAGCTGGGACTACAGATGTGTATCATCATGTGTGGCTGATTTTTTATTTTTTGTAGAGATGGGGTCTTGCTATGTTGCCCAGGCTGTTTTCAAACTCCTGGTCTCACACGATGCTCCTGCCCTAGCCTTCCAAATAACCCATACTTTTAAAATTCACAGGTATAGCAGGCTTTGTGTCTGTGGTGTCCTATGGTCTTTACAAGTTAAAGTACAGAAGAGATCAGAAAGTGTCAATTCATCTTATTCACATGAGAGTTGCTGCCCAAGGATTTGTTGTCGGAGCTGTGACTCTAGGTAACCTGCTTAATTTGTATCTTATGTTCAGCTGTCTTTGAGAGTATATTTATTTTATTCATTCACAATAGAAGATGAATATTGGGTCACAATGATATAATGAGAGAGGGGTAGGAAAGATTCATCTTCCCTTAGTTGAGGTTGTGGCCCAGTTGTGCGCTTAATTTTTTATGATTGCAGCTGACAAAAACTGACAAAACCCATGGTAAACAACTAGGGCAATGGGCTGTTCTTCTCTTTAGTGAAGGGAGTGGTGGATAGTTCCTATCCTATAACTCAAGAGCAGCAGTTACAGATAGATCACAGCCTATATTGTGGCCGTGAGCCCCATCTCATGGCTAAGAGCAGCGATCATATTTCCCAGCCTATCTGAACAGCAAATGTAGTTATTAGTTTAACTAGGAAGAAGACATTTTTAGAGCCCACAAATCTCAACTGCCTTCTTCTTTCCTTCCAAGTTTCAGCAATAGGCAAATCTATTTTTATTAGTCCATAAATTAAGCAAGACCTACCAGTCAAATCCAAAGAAAAGGTATAAAATTGTCTTCATTAATTCAGGTTATACCCACAGCTAAATCAGATAGTTCTAACAAGAAGTCCATTTTAGGACCTAAAGTAATCTAAATTTGTTTGTTCTACATTAATGAGAACAGGTCACAATATTCTTAGGTGCCCTTCATGCTGTGCAGAGTAGAGTCATCCTGCCTAGGTTGGAGATGATAGAATGATGGGCATGGGGCTTGCAAGGAAAGTTATATGGTAATAATCTTATTACTGTGAGCCGTAATGTGCTCCAAATACAGGAAGCCTTACTGCAAAGTTACAGTCCTCCTTTTCATCATTCAGCAAACATTTATTGAATGCCTGCTATGTGCCAGACACTGTTTAGAAATATGACTCAGTCCCTACCCTTAAACAGTTTAGTCTCCTTAGAAAGACAGACCAAAGAAAGAAAGAAGACAATATCAAGTTATAGATGCCGTAACAGAAATAGCACAGGCTGGCCAGGCGCGGTGGCTCACACCCGTGATCCCACCACTTTGGGAGGCCGAGGCGGATGGATCACCTGAGGTAAGGAGTTTGATACCAGCCTGGCCGACATGGCGAAACCCCGTCTCTACTAAAAAAAAAATACATACACACACACAAATAGCTGGGTGTGGTGGCACATGCCTGCAATCCCAGCTACTTGGGAGGCTGAGGCAGGAGAATCGCCTGAATCTGGGAGACGGAGTTTGCAGTGAGCTGAGATCATGCCATTGCACTCCAGCCTCGGCAACGAGAGTGAAACTCCATCTAAAAAAAAGCCAGGCGCGGTGGCTTATGTCTGTAATCCCCACACTTTGGAAGGCCAAGGCAGGAGGATCACTTGAGGTCAGGAGTTCGAGACCAGCCTGGCCAACATGGTGAAATCCCATCTTTACTAAAAATACAAAAATTAGCCAGGTGTGATGGTGGGCGCCTGTAGTTGCAGCTACTTGGGAGGCTGAGGCAGGAGAATCACTTGAACCCGGGAGGCAGAGGTTGCAGTGAGTCAAGATCATGCCACTGCATTCCAGCCTGGGCGTCAGAGCAAGACTTCGTCTCAAAAAAGGAAAAAAAAAAATAGGACAGGTTGCTATGGAAGCACAAACACAAGGGAGTGGTATTTAACTAGGACTGGGAGGCCAGAGGAGGCTTCTCTAAGGATGTAAACCATGTACTGAACCAAGAATAAGGAGGAATTAACTAAGCAGAGAAGGACCTCAGGATTCTAGGCAGAGGAAAAAAAAAAAAAGACAGAGGCCGGGCGCGGTGGCTCATGTCTGTAATCCCAGCACTTTGGGAAGCTGAGACGGGCGGATCATGAGGTCAGGAGATCGAGACCATCCTGGTGAAACACGGTGAAACCCCATCTCTACTAAAAAATACAAAAAAAAAAAAAAAAAACCAGCCGGGCATGGTGGCGGGTGCCTGTAGTCCCAGCTACTCGGGAGGCTGAGGCAGGAGAATGGTGTAAACCCGGGAGGCGGAGCTTGCAGTGAGCTGAGATCCGGCCACTGCAGTCCAGCCTGGGCGACAGAGCAAGACTCTATCTCAAAAAACAAAACAAAACAAAAAAGGCACAGAAGCATGGCGTGTAAGTGGAACTCTACATAGCTTGGTAGGCGAATCAGTGTTTGATGAGAAAAGCAAAACTACTAGTAGTAATGTTTAATGAAGGATTTATTACAGGTATTTGAACTTATATAATTATGAGGCTCTTGCTTATGAATCTGGAGCTTGGGCCTGAAGTCAGCAGGGAAAGGAATTAGAAAAGAAAGGAAAGTAGGTCAGGCGCAGTGGCTCACACCTGTAATCCCAGCACTTTGGGAGGTTGATGCAGGTGGATCACAGATCAGGAGTTCAAGACCAGCCTGGCCAACATGGTGAAATCCCATCTCTACTTAAAATACAAAAATAAGCCAGGAGTAGTGGTGTATGCCTGTAATCCCAGCTACTTAGGAGGTTGAAGCAGGAGAACTGCTTGAACCTGGTAAGTGGAGGCTGCAGTGAACCAAGACCGCGCTACTGCACTCCAGCCTTGGTGAAAGGGCAAGACTCCATCTCAAAAAAAAAAAAAAAAAAAGAAAAGAAAAGAAAGGAAAGTAGAAGCAAGGAAAATCCAGAACCTGCAAAGATGAGCTAGAACAATACACAGGACAGACTGGAATCCTTGTGGGTTTTCGGCCATCTCCAAGCCTCCACATTCACTGATGGAGATGAAATATAGAAAACATTCTGGAGCTGGCAAAGGGGTCAGGGAAGGTGCAGGAGAAAATTCAGCAGGAGCCATAGTGGCTGTGCTCGTGATTGCTGACCCCTGCCAATAAAGTGAGCCAGCACATGAGCAAAACTGTACTGCAACAGTGTCTTCCAGACACAAGAAGAATTTGACTGCTGCATCATTTCCACCTTCTAAATCTCATGCAGGATGTCTCTTTTGCACTAACCCTGGTAATAAAAGGAAAGGAATTCTGGAAAATGCAGTTACAGGCTACTTCAGTTGACATAATACAAGCCTACCACTGTCCAGCCCTTGTCAACTTGACATCCATATATACCTCTTTTAATTACCCTTAACTTCCAAATAAAGACAGTGGCAAAATCAGCCACCCCCTGTGTATCCAAAAGCATGCTAGTTCTCTCCCAAAAGAGGATACAGAATCCCTTCACACATCTTTGGATGATGCTGATTCCTCTTTGAGCTGAATCACATTCTCCTTTGATATCCTGTGACTTAAATCCTGAGATATAAGGTTGAATCCTATTAACACTTCTTATGTTAGATGATAGGTAAACAGAAGTGGGGAATAGAAAAAAAACTTGGCTAATCTATACACAAATGCATCCATATCAAAATAAGGAAGAAACACTCCTAAATATCACAGTCTGTTTCTGCAGCTGGTCAGATGGTCATAGCTAGTATTATATCTATATTCATCCACTACACATTTCATATCCCTTTTGCTTTCAGCAAGTACCTTGGCTACTCATGGTTATTTGACTGGTGGGGTGACCCAAACCTTCATTCCTTCATGCCTAACCTGGATTATTAGGCATCCTGCCTGTGTTGGATTTAGTTTTCCATTGTCTTCCATCACAGGACATAGGAGTACCAAGAAGTGCCCTAAAAGATATAATGCATTCCAATTTCCCCTTGATATTCAGGTCAAATTAATATAATGAACTAAAGTGATGTCCTGTATGATGAAGAAATGATCAAGGACCCTGCAGACTAGATTATGACATAGGGCTGGAGAGTTCACAGAGCCCTGAGATTAGGCAGTGAAAGCATACTGTGGACCCTGCCAGGTGAAGGCAAATGCTTCTGATTATCTTTACTAAAAGACATACAGAAAAAAGCACTCAACCAGATTAACAGCTGCATACCAAAAGAAGATGTTATGTTGATTTGCTCCAGCAACAAAACCACATCTGGATAAGCAGAGTGACCACCTGATTAAATTTATAGGAATAGTATCATTCTCCAAGATCCATCTGTCTTCTGCCAAATAGGCAAACTAAATGGGGATGTTTTAGGAATCACCACTCTGGTATCATTTTTCCAAATCTTTTTGTAGAGACAGGGTCTCACTATGTTGCCCAAGCTCAAACTCCTGACCTCAAGCAATCCTCCTGCCTTGGCCTCCCAAAGTGTTGGAATTACAGGCGTGATCCATTGCACATAGCCACTCTAGCATCTTTGAAGTCCTTGATGATGGCACTAATCTCTACAGTCCCTCTAGGAATAGAGTAATGCTTTTGTTTTACGTTTGTGATTTTTTTTGTTTTTGTTTTTTGAGACAGGGTCTTGCTCTGTTACCCAAGTTGGAGTATAATGGCATGATCATGGCTCACTACAGCCCCAAACTCCTGGGTTCAAGCAATCCATCCACCTCAGTCTCTTGAGTAGCTGGGACTACATGTGTGCACCACCATGCCTGGCTAATTTTTAATTTTTTTTTTGTAGAAATGAAGTCTTGCTACATTGCCCAGGGTGGTCTTCACCTCATGGGCTCAAGTGATCCTCCCACTTCAGCCTCCCAAAGTGCTGGGATTACAGATGTCAGCCACCATGCCCAGCCACTGGTTTACTATTTTTCCTTCCACTTGGCTTTTCCTACTGTAACAGCCCTTACTTTGCAGGTCAGGGGACCAGTGTAAGAATTCTGACAGTTGATGAGTATGTCTATTCCAATTACACATTTCAGAACTGAGGAATAACAGATAGTGGGTTCAGAGACCCACCAGGCTTGACTATGAAGAAGACCCACAGCAAAACTCCATTAACCACCTGACCTCCGTAAACCCCTACTTTGACTGGTAGGCCACGCTAATTCTACCAAAGTAGAGATTAGTGTCAGTTCAGAACTAGGATTCAAAAATCCCCCATAAATGTGATTATTTTCCCTTCGTTGGTGAACAGGTGCCCTGGTAAATGAGCACAGGTCCCCTTTGGGGAAGGCTAGAAGGAAGACTTATAGTATATATATTTTTGTTTGTTGAACTGGGTCTTTCCTTAAGGGGATCTGGCTCCCTCTTCATCCAAGGGATTTCTGGGCCTGTGAAAATGTCTCAATTCTAGGAACTGAGTCAATTCCTTGGCTCTTTATTGTGGTGACTTGAGTTAGACTTTTATTCACCAAACCTAGAGCTTTTCTGCTTCTGCCCATAACTTTCAGTTCTAGGGATACTATAATCAGTTAGCCAATGCCAAAGATCTCTGTGGCTTACTTACACTATTCTGATGATACTTAGGCTTTGCTGCCCATCACAACAATCATGCTTTCCTTGTCTTTGTCAATCAAATGCTACCACTTGACCCCCATAGCCTCAGGATCCCATCATCCCCATTGAATTTAGGGAGCCCAGCAGTTCGCACTGTCATTTCTGGCATACAGAGAACAGTCACCACAGGACTCTTGCCAGCGCTACCCTGACAAATGTCTTTCTCACAACCTTAGTTTAAGGTGTGGGGAAGCAGGATAAATTCACCCTAACATACCTACCTCTGTGGCAGTTTCTGAACCTCAGCACTACTGACATTTTGGGCTGGATTATTCTTGTTGTGGAGGATCGTCCCATGCATTGCAAGATGCTTAGCAGCATCTCTAGTCTCCACCCATGAGAGGCCAGTAGAATTTCCTCTCACCTCCACACCCTCAGTTGTGACAACCAAAAATATCTCCAGACACTACCAGATTTCCCAGGGGAACAAAACTGCCCCTGGTTGAGAACCATTACTCTACCAAGGAAGTTCTGGCATTTCAATTTCATTTAGTGGAGATTACCTTTTGGTCCAAGTTTCGGTCATTCTCAGACAGGATAGAAGGACTGCTTCTATTGGCAAAGGAGTCTCACTAAAATGTTAAGTGTTCAAAGACCCATTTCATTGACATCTGCCACATCTTCCCAATTTTCAGTGTCCCACTACTTCTAAAGCAATGGTTTAACTTTAACAGAAGTGACTCTGTGAGGTTGGGGATTGAATTTGTACTGTGATGAGCCACTCACAGGATTCGGGAGGCCGAGGTGAGTAGATCACTTGAGGTCAGGAGTTCGAGACCAGCCTGGCCAACATGGTGAAACCCCATCTCTGCTTAAAATCCAAAAATTAGCCGGGCATGGTGGCACGTGCCTGTAATCCCAGCTACTTGGGAGGCTGAGGCAGAATCACTTGAACCCAGGAGGCAGAGGTTGCAGTGAGCCAAGATCGCACCACTGCACTTCAGCTTGGGTGACAGAGAGAGACTCAGTCTCCAGAAAAAAAAGAGAAATAGGGTCTTGCTTTGTCACCCAGGGTGAAGTGCAGTGGTGCGATCACGGCTCACTGCAGCCTCAAACTCCTGGGCTCAAGAGATCCTCCTGCCTGCCTCAGTCCCACATAGCTGGGACTATAGGTAAGCATCATCATGTCTGGCTAATTTTTAAATTTTTTGTAGAGGTGGGGTCTCCCTATGTTGTCCAGGCAAGTCTCAAATTCCTGGGCTCAAATGGTCCACCTGCCTCAGCCTCTCAAAGTGCTGGGATTATGGGCACGAGCTACCGGGCCCGGCCTTTATTTTTTGTAGAAATGAGGGTCTCACTTCATTGCCCAAGCTGGTCTTGAACTCCTGACCTCAAGCAATCCTCCCACCTCAGCCTCCCAAAGTGCTGGGATGACAGGCATAAGCCACTACGCCTGACCTAATGGGTGATAATTTAAGAAACTATTTTGCTACTACATGCCATGGACTGTTAGCATCCTCTTTATAACTGAAAACATGGTCATTAATGCCTTTAAATCTAAACAGATCAGAGAACCAATTCCAGATAACCCAGAACCACTTCAGAGAAGCTATCATCCTGGTTCTGTTCCTCTGGAAGCACTTATAATTCCAAACTGTATCAGTCAAGATTCAGACAAGCAAAACTACCAGTAGTGATATAGAAAAAGCAATTTAGGTTGGGCGTGATGGCTCACACCTGTAATCTCAGCATTCTGGGAGTCCAAGGCAGGAGAATCACTTGAGCCAGGGAGTTTGAGACCAGTCTGGGCAACATGGCAAATACTCTGTCTCTACAAAAAATTAAAAAGTTAGCCAGGCAAGTCGCATGCACCTGTGGTCCCAGCTACTCGGAAGGCTAAGATGAGAGGATGGCTTGAGCCCAGGAGGTCAAGGCTGCAGTGAGCCTTGCTCGCACCACTGCACTCCAGCCTTGGCCACAGAGCGAGGCATCGTCCAAATAATAATAGTAATCATAAAAGAAGAAGGAGGAGGAGAAGGAAGAACGGGAGGAGGAGGAGAATGAGCAGGAGAACGGAGGAGGAGAATAACGGATTTATTAGAGAGATACAACCTTAAAACATTTTTGGAGTTGGCTGAACAGTTTATGTGAAGCTGTTGCTTATGTTTCTAATACTGGGGACTGAAGTCAGTAAGGCAACAGTTGGGAAGGAAAGATAAACTGGAATCTGCAAGGATGAGCTAGAACCCAAAAAGACAGAAGAGAACTTGAGTCAGACTCACTGCCTCCCAGCTTACCGTAATCTCCACTCCAGTTCCACCAATTCTCTTTTTTTGGAGGGGGGAGACAGGGTCTTGCTCTGTCATCTGGGCTGGACTGCAGTGGCGTGATCACAGTTCACTGCAACCTCAAACTCGTGGGCTCAATTGATACTCCCACCTCAGCTTCCCTAGTAGCTGGGACTACAGGCATGCACCACCATGCCCAGCTAATTTGTTTGTTTTGAGATGGAGTCTCACTCTGTCCGCCCAGGCTGGAGTGCAATGACGCAATCTCAGCTCACTGCAACATCCACCTCCCAGGTTCAAGCGATTCTCCTCACTCAGCCTCCTGAGTAGCTGGGATTACAGGCGCCCACCACTACACCTGTCTAATTTTTGTATTTTTAGTAGCGATGGGGTTTCACCATGTTGGCCAGGCTGGTCTCAAACTCCTGACCTCAAGTGATCCACACGCCTTGGCCTCCCAAAGTGCTGGGATTACAGGCATGAATGAGCCACTGTGCCCCGCCCTAATTTTTTAATTTTTTTGTAGAGATGGGTCTCGCTATTTTGACAAGGCTGGTCTCTAACTCCTGACCTCAAGTGATCCTCCTCCCTTGGCCTTCCAAAGTGGTGGGATTACAGGCATGAGCCCCCACCACCCACCTGCGTTTATATTGTTTATAAATAAATGCACAGTTTGGCTGGGCACGGTGGCTCACGCCTATTAATCCTAGCAATTTGGGAGGCCGAGGTGGGTGGATCACCTGAGGTCAGGAGTTCAAGACCAGCCGGGCCAACATGGTGAAACCCCATCTCTACCAAAAATACAAAATTAGCTGGGTGTGGTGGCGTGCGCCTATAATCCCAGCTACTAGGGAGGCTGAGACAGGAGAATTGCTTGAATCTGGGAGGCAGAGGCTGCAGTGAGCCAAGATCGCCCCACTGCACTCCAGCCTGGGCGAGACAGAGAGACTCTATCTCAAAAACATAAAATAAGTAAATAAATACACATTTTGAGAGGCATGTTCAACATATTTACTTAGGTAAATTTGGAAAGTTTAAAGACCACCTACCTGTGCAATGTAGAAATCTCATACGTAAGGCCAGGCACAGTGGCTCACACCTGTAATGCCAGCACTTTGGGAGGCCAAGGCAGGCAGACCACCTGAGATCAGGAGTTCAAGACTGGCCTGGCCAACATGGCAAAACCCTGTCTCTACTCAAAATACAAAAATTAGCTGGGCATGGTGGTGGGTGCCTGTAATCCCAGCTACTCGGGAGGCTGAGGCAGGAGAATCGCTTGAACCTGGGAAGCAGAGGTTGCAGTGAGCTAAGATCATGCCATTGTACCACTCCAGCCTGGGTGACAAGAGCAAGACTCTATCTCAAAACAAAAAAACCCAAAATGTCATACGTACAATAATGAATATATGGGTTTCACACTCAGAAGAGGGATCTAATTTCAAGATCTGATGCCTTCATAACTGAGATGGGTATAGGCTACTGGTGGTGGTATGTGAGTTGTAGTTTAAATCTGTAACTCCCTAACTTGCTTTTGGGTGTGCACATTTGCTGACATCCTTGGAACTCACTAAAGCAGCTCCTCTCTTTCTTACCCTATTCCTCCTGGCTACTTCCCCCTTTCTGCATGCCCCAGGACTCTGTGGAAGCCATACATACCATCTGTCTAAACTCACAGGCAATTCACCCACTAGATCATAAATCCCTAGAAGCAGGAAGTCGATCCATTCACCATTTGTTTTCCTCAGGATACTGAGTACAAGTAGAGACTGAATAAATGTTTGCTAATTGAGATGACTACTATTTTTATCTTAACATCTGGTCAAATTTTCCCACTTTCCTAACATTTCACCAATATTTTGGTGGCACAATAACATCATAAATTTAAGTTGATATTGATTTGAAAGGGCTCCTAGAGTTTTTTTTCTAGAGTTACTTGTATGATCCAAACCAAAAACTCATAGGAAGGAGGGCCTTTGTTTGTTTCTGTTTAAATTGTGGGCTAGTTTCATAAAAATACAACAAGTGGAAGAAATTCAGTGTTTGTTTCCCATGGATACTCAATTGATATACATCCTTCTTTTTCTAGGTGTTCTCTATTCTATGTATAAGGATCACATTAGACCTCGATTCTTCAGTGAGTCCAAAAAATGAAGCTACGTGCTGGAAGCAAGAAAGACAAGAAGCTTCTGAAAACTATTTATTATGAAGAGTAAATTTTCAATATGTAGCCAATTTTACTACAGAAGTGTTACAGAATGCTCATAGCCTTTGTATTTCAAGTCTCAATGTTTTAAGAAGTTGATTTCCAGATCAACAATCATAAACAGTCAACTCAGATATCCTGTGTTGATGTCTTTCAGAACCTAGGGCATGATTTTCTGACTTAATTTTTTAAAATTTTGTAGTTAGTGGCAGAACATAATCTGCCACTAATCTGTCAAACTAATGATAATCTGCCAAACCAATCTAAAAAATTAATAGTTATACAATGGTTACAGAAGATTTCTCTTTTCTTTTTTTTTTGAGATGGAGTCTTACTCTATTGCCCAGGCTGGAGTGCAGTGGTGTAATCTCGACTCACTGCAACCTCCGCCTCTCAGGTTCAAGTGATCCTCCTGACTCAGCCTCCCGAGTAGCTGGGATTACAGGCGCCCACCACCACACCCGGCTAATTTTTGTATTTTTAGTAGAGATGGGGTTTCACCATGTTGGCCAGGCTGGTCTCAAACTCCTGACCTCATGTGATTCGCCCGCCTCGGCCTCCCAAAGTGCTGGGATTACAGATGTGAGCCACCGCACCCAGCCACAGACTTTTCTATATCCATGTTAAATGTGACACCCTATTCATGACTTAATTCTCCCCAAATAGGGCAAAGTAATTACGGTTTCATAAACTCCTTTTTAGAATGGGTAATAATTACATCAGAGGAGAATGGTCATGTTGTTACATAAAGTTGGTTCACCACTTTACATCTCATACAGAAACTTGACCATTTTACCACGCACACATGTTTAACATTTAAATATTTTTTATTCATTTTTAGACTTTAAAGTATTTCTAAGAATACAAAGGTAAACTGCAAACAAATTTCTTTTTCCTGAGATGGCAAAAAGGATTTAGTCCAGAAGCGCTATTACTAATGTGGTATGACACTGTAGAAAACACAAGAAACCAAAGCAGATGTGAAAGGTTAAGTATACCTGTGGCCTTGAACTCCTCTCTAACTGCCCTCAGGGTCTAAAAAATTAACTAGGCTTTGCTGAAGACATAACTGCCTTGACTTAACCTTAATCCCAAAGACTTCAAGCCTAGGAGATTAAAAAAAAAGTCACTGAAATAAAATCAAGAATATATGCAAGGTAAGATGATTTCTGGTGGGTACTTCCTTTTCCTCAGTGTTTCCTGTAATGGAGGTTTACGCTGACAGGAAGGTGAAGTCCAGTATTTGGGGACAAGAAAGATGTAAGAATATATGAAAATATGTCTGCACTCTGGATATGAACCTACTGTTCTGTGTATTATATACATTTTTCTCCATTGGCACAGATAATTATTTTAAAAGTTGTCAACTGTATCTATCATGAAGCTCTTCTAGTGCTACCAACAAGTACATATATTTTGGTCAACACTGTCCTCTTTGGAAAATAGGCAAGGAAAGAATCCAACTGCTTTATTCCATTAAAGTAAATATTCCAGCAGCTGGATCTAATATGTTCCATTAAGGTCAGGAAAACTGAGGACAGCTGGCATAGAAATAACTCATCCTTTCATGTTGGTTGTGCAATGAAAAGTATTTTCTAACCAGGCTACTAGAAATATTCTACCTTCTCAATATGTACTTAGCACTAAAAATAGATTAAGAGTTTAATTAGAAACTAGCTTTTCTTACAAAACCCAATAGGTTCCACAATTTTGTAATCTTACTCTGAGAGAGCTAAAGTAATATATTTGTTGCTTGAAAAAAAGCAAAGTATTCATTTGTTAAGAGTAGCTATGCATGAGAACCTACAAACTGTGTTTAAATTAAAATGTAAAATCACATTTGGAGAAAAGTTAGGAAGTATGCAGGATGTGAATTCACCCACTTCAGCTTGGGTAAAGTGGGAGGGTCACTGCATGAAGACCCTATAAACAGATAACATAACAATACTTGAATTTGCAAAAGACTTCCTGGGCAGAGTTTTAGTGGCCTCATGTTGTAATGTCTGAAATTGAGAAGGCTATTTATATCAGCTACTAAAACCCCTGCCTCTCTTACTAATGAAACTACTTCATATGCCCGGATACACTCTACCTGCCTTTTATATTAGGCTGGCACACAGTTATGTAGCAGCGACTGCTCAGTAACAATTACTTAATTGTACTTTTTCTGACATTCTGTGTATACATTGTCAGAACATCCTTTTACAGATTGACTCCATAGTGTTGTATGGAATTAAGTGAATGCACTCAGGTTATTCTTAAGATTGAATATATTAGTATCTGCATAAGTACACTTACAGTAATCCAGATTTATTTACCACAAATTGGAGAGTGAGTAAATATTCTTAATTTAGAAAAAAGCTTACCCAAGATTCACTCTTAGTTATCAACCTCCTCTACTGGCTTTGACATGATTCAGTTTGCTATGACATTTTCTGATTACAGGAGTTGTGTGACCTGAAGGGTACACTTGTAAACCTGTATTCTCTGTTCCTAGTAACGTACAGTTAAGGACTGGAAAAGAGCTATAGAAATTCCATAAGTACTTAACCAACCACCTCACCTTTCTATGAGTTTCACAACAGGATGTTTTTATTTTTTACCTTACTTTCCCCAACACTCTCTGGTAATCAAATGACTGAGAAACAAAACCGCCCAGAGAGGTGGGGGAAATCCAACAAACTGGTTCATCTAGAGTTGTTGTCCTGTATAAAGAAACCAAAACACTAAAACTTATTTTAAGAGTCTCTTTTTCAAGTAAAAGCATATAATTGATGTTAATTCAGTCTCAATTTTAAGATCAGAAGGACTATAACCTGAGTTGCAGGGTTGGCTGCTCTTATTATCTGAAGTTTTAGGAGGCCCTGAAGTAGAAATGAGGAAATTTTAAAGTGTCATTTTAGAAATACCCCTGCCTCTTTAAGGGCCAAACAATTATAAACGAAGATAGGCAATGTCTGGATTTTTTAAAAAGTTTTATTGAAATGTAGTAAGTTCTAAAATACGGCAGAGAGGTCATATATTTAATGCTGAAAGGGGAAAGTGATGCTCAAAGTCACACAAAGGCTGCAGGATTTCTGACTCAACACCTTTGGGGCTAGAAATAAATGAGGAGTGGGCTGGATGTGGTGGCTCACACCTATAATCTCAGCACTTTGGGAGGCCAAGGCCAGCAGATCGCTTGAGCTCTCGAGTTCAAGACCAGCCTGGGCAACATGGTGAAATCCCATCTCTACAAAACATACAAAAATTAGATGGGTGTGGTGGTGTGTGCCTGCAGTCCCAGCTACTTGGGATGCTGAAGTGTGAGGATGGCTTTAAGCCTAGGAGGCAGAAGTTGCAGTGAGCTGAGATGACGCCACTGCACGCCAGCCTGGGCGACAGAACAAGACCCTGTCTTAACAACAAAAAAGGCTGAGTGCAGTGGCTCACACCTGTAATCCCAGCACTTTGGGAGGCTGAGGCAGGCAGATCACTTGAGGTCAGCAGTTTGAGACCAGCCTGGGCAACATGGTGAAACCCCATCTCTACTAAAAATGTGATGCCTGTAATCCCAGCTATTCAGGAGGCTGAAGGAGGAGAATCACTTAAAGCCAGGAAGTAGAGGTTACAGTGAACTGAGATCACGTCATTGCACTCCCACCTGGGCGACAGGGCAAGACTCTGTCTCAAAAAAACAACAACAAACAAAAACAACAACAAAAACAAAAAAAATTAAGGAAACAACTTCCTGTTTAGGAAGGTGGGTGAAAAAAAAAATCTCTACATGTAGGCAAGCAGTTTGTGATATGTGGACTAATCTTCCAAATCTCACTCTAGTACTAATCTCATGCCACTTGGTATAAATAGGTATTTTAAAGTGAAACGTTTAGCATTCCCTAGGAGATTCAACAATACAAATATTAGCCACTCCTAGAAATAGACTTTGGATCTAGAAATGGTGTTTGCTATGTTAATGGGAATAGTGGGAAGAAAATACACTGGCAGACTATACAAATATTAGAAGGAAGATAAATATCTTAACTATCTTATGTCAGGACTTACAAGTTAAATGTTAGAAGTTTCTTCTTTTTCTGCCTAAAACCTGAATGCCAGAATGAGCTGAGTTACAATGCAGCAGGGAAAACTGATCACTGGTTAAAGTGTGGTTTCTGGATCTTGTTACTGGGTATTAAAGCTCTTTGGCAAATGCCTTCATATCTGTTTAATGACTAGAAAACAATGCAAGAAAAGTGACAACAAAGACAATAATTACAAAACAGGCTGATAACCAGCGTTAACTATGATTGCCAAATAGAAGAAATGTTTTTTAAGAAACGATGTGTTAATATGATGTGTTAATATCAGTAGATACAAAGGATATAATCTGGTTGATTAAAATCAAAGTGAAATTTAACTGACATAGTAAAATATCACTTTACAAGATAGTCAATTTGACCGGTTCATTGTGAAGAAGAGCATTATTCTCTTTCCTTTCTCACTTGTGATCCAGACAAAACAAATATCTGATATATCGAAACAATATTAAAAAAAAAAATACAAAAGCTCTATCAGTGTCATATAACCTCAAAACTCTACCCAAACTGAGATGCTCAGGTTTACATAAATATATATACATATATATCTTTTAAATCCCAGAGTCCAAGACACAAGCCCATAGGGGTGTGTGGCCCTCAGAGGCCAATTGTTTAACTCTGGGAGTGTAAGACTGTTGTGAGGTGGGTGGTCTCTGACCTACATTTATAGCTGTCAGTTTTGAACACCCTTCCCATGAGGAAATCTTTGCCTTTTGTTCAAAACGTCTGAACAAAACTCACCTCTGAACTAACAGAGATGTTAACAGGACACCTGGCACAAAAAGGGCTTAGAAAAACGTGTTCTCATAGCGTCTCTCAGGCTGTCAGTTGTCAGTCATCTAGACACAAGTGAGTCAGCATCCATGGCGTTCAGAAGATAGAGTTCAGGCTGAGCTGTCAATCCCAGATGGCACTAAGGAAAAAAAGATGGAAGAGGGTTAGACTGATCTTCACGTATTTATTGAACTCAGCATTTAAGTACCTATAATTAGCACATCAATTTAGGCCTTTTTTCTGTACTGCTATGTTGATTTTTATTTCAGAAAAGAAATGGCTTACAGATACATACATGAATGGTTTCTGATATGCAAAATAACAGGTAGGAGCTGAAATAGTTAAGGACTAAGATGGTACCAAATGTCCTCAGCAAAATTAGCACTCTGACTATTCTTGTGACACAGTCTGCCTCAGGATGGGTGCTTCAAATCAGGATAAGAACAAACATGCAGAATGCTTTTGTATTTTACTACTGTGTGAATTAGAAATCAAATTTCCAATGGTTTCAATCCT